TGCCTTACAATCTCGAGGGCCTCATATTCTAGAGCTATATTGGACAGTGTATCAGGGATATTCATAAAGTTTTCTAGTAATGTATCAGACAGTGTTTCACTGCTATTCGTAAGGTTTTCACTGGCCAGTTCTTTGAGAAGTGGATGACCTCTTCCTTCTGAGTCTGTCTTAGTTTGAAAGGTCTGCTTACTGCCTTACTGTAGAAAATTAACCTCTTAACCGCTGACCTTCTGGTTAGCAGCCAGATACGTTACCCACTGTGCCAGCAGAGCTCCTTGGGCTTTCCCTACCATATACATCTTTAATTTATTATACCTTCAAATTGTATTTTACTGTTTAATGTATAGTATATGAATTTTATAAACAATACATTTTCATTTCCTCTAACTCATCCTTTTTTGCTGTTGCCATACATTTTACATGTACGTGTTATAAACCCCACACTCGATCATCTTTGCTTTAGGTAGTCAGTTACGTCTAAAGGAATTACATGTAAGGACAAATGTTTTTGTTTTTCTTAATTCACCTTCATTTTTACCATATTTGGCACTCTTTCCCTTTTTGCAGATCCAAGTTTCCATCAAGTATCATACTTCTGCCTTAAGAACTTCATTAAACATTGCCAGGTGACCTGTGCTTCAAGAAATACAATTAGCTTTTATTTATCTGAGAAATCTATTTTGCATTCATTTTTGAAAAATATTTTTACTGTGTGCGGAATTGACAGTTTTTGTTACTTTCAATATTTTAAAAATTGTTTTTTGGCTTGCAAGTTTTTTTGGCTTGCAAGTATTTTTGGCTTGCAAGGTTGTGAGAAGTCTGCTGCATTTCTTATCTTTGTTCCTTTGTATGTAATGTTTCTTTTTCCTCTTCCACTGAATATGTTTTCTTCATTTTGGTTTTCCATAGTTCTACTTTAATGAATATAAGTGTGGGGATATTTAAAGTTTTAATTTGTTTTACTTGGTATTCTCTGAAATTCTCAAATCTGTGGTTTGATGTCTTGCAGTTTTTTGGGGGGGTAAAATTGGCTGTTACTTCTTCAAACCTTTCTTCTATCTTATTCTCTTTCTCTTCTAATTCTAGAATTTGAATTACATGTATTATCTCACAATTCTTTGATCTTTTTTTTTACATTGTGTAAAGGTAAATTTAAATTATTAATGGTTTTCAAGGGTGGGAGGACAGAAAAGGGAGGGTTTTTGTTTGGGGGTGGGAGTAAAAGTAAATTTGTGTAAAAGAGTCAGATTAGATCATTTCTATTGATCTATTCTCAGGTTCACTGAATCTTAACGCCAGTTGTGTCCAGTCTACTTGATGGGCCCATCTAAAGAATTCTTTATCTTTGATCATAGTTTTTTTCCTAGTGTTTAATCGACTTTTACACTTTTCACATCTTTGTTGAAATATTCTATTTATGGAAGTTGTTTACTTTTTTTTTTTTCTTTTCCTTGTGATTTGGGTGAAAGTTCGTCAAGCAAATTGTTTTTCTGTTCGACAATTGATACACATTTTCTTTTGTGACATTCATTGCAGTCTCAACAGTGTAACAGCTCTCTTTCCACTTCCTCCCTGTGTTTACCATGTCCCTTTGTCCTTCTTTCTTATCCCTCCCTGCCTTCTTAGCTTTATCCCTGGGCAAATGCAAGTTGTTCACTGTTTTTTACTACATATACACAGTATATCCTGTTTTCTACTATATATATACTATATCCTTTAACATATTAGCCATGGTTATTTTAAAGTTCCTGTCTGATAATTCTAATACCTAAATTATCTTTCAATTTTTTTAGTTTTTTAAATTGTGGTGAAAATAAATCTACAAAAACATTGACTAGGACAACTTCCACATTATGATTTGGTGATGTTGATTATATTTTTCATATTTTGCTACCATTGTTATTTTTCTGAAATACTCTACCACCATCAACATAATTCAATGCCCAACCCCCACCCCAAACAAAAATGCTCCTTTTTCTCTCCTCCCAACCATGGAAACCATTAATAATCTTTTGCTTCTCTATATTTCCTCATTTCATGGAAGATCATATATTTGTCCTTTTGCAACTGACTTATTTTGCTTAGCGTATTTTCAAGGTTCATGTTTTTGTGGCATGCACTGGAGCTTCATTTCCCCTTAGAGCTGCATGCTATCCCATTGTGTGTATATACCACATTTTGTTTATCGATTCATCTGTTGATAGACATTTCCTTGTTTACAATTTTTGGCTGTTGCCGAAGAGTACTGCAGTGAACATTGGTGTACAGGTTTCTGTTTATGGCTCTACCAACACTTCATCTGTATATTTATCTAGGATTGGGATTGCTTGGTCATATGGTAATTCTGTGTGCAACATTTTGAGGAACCACCAAACTGTCTTCCACAGTTGCTGCACCATTTTACGTTTCCACCAGCAGTGGATGACAGTTCCAGTTTCTCCACAACCTTAATGGCACTTGTGTCTATTTTTCTATTTTTTTGATCATTTCCATTCTATTTGGGTAAAGCAATATCTCATCTCACTAAAGTGCTTTGGCAGTGCAGAGGGTAAGGTATTTGGCCGCTAACCAGAAGGTTGGTGGTTCAAACTGACCAGATGCTCTGTGGGAGGAAGATGAGGCAGTCTTCTTCCATAAAGATTTATTGCCTTGGAAACCTTATGGGTGTTGCTGTGAGTCAGAATTGACTTGATGGCAGTGAGTTGGTTGTTTTTTTTTTTTTTTGAGTGGCTAATGATGTTGAGCATCTTTCATGTGCTTGTTGGCCATTTGAGTATCTTCCTTGTCAAAGTTCTATGCTCATTTTTTGATTGGATTGTTTGTCTTTTTGTTGTTAAGTGGTAGAAGTTTTATATGTGATTTGGTTATTAGGTCCTTGTCTGATATATGGATCTCAAAAATTTTCTCCTAATCTGTAGGGTTTTTTTTACTTTGTTGATAATTAGTTGAGTTTTGTTGCTAATTTCTGACAGTAGATTTTTTCTTGCTTTTTTTGTATATGTTGTTTCTGACTGTTAGACATATGTATACAAGAACAGTGGCAGTTGAAGCAAATAGTATTTATACATGTAAACAGATAAGTGTGTTTCTTTTTCTCTCAGGCCATTCATGTGGGGGGTTGAGTTAATCTGTCAACAGTTGAGGGGGATTTTTTGTTGTGATATGTTTACTTTCAGTACACCACAGACTTTACACAGAGCAAATTCATTTTCCATACAGCAGTTCATATATATTTTGTCTCATGACATTGACTGCAATTTCCCACAGTGTAACAGCTCTCCTCCCACTTCTTCCCCATAGTTACCTCTTCCTTGTGTCCTTCTTTCCCGTGCACTCCTGCCCCCTGACCTGTCTCCCTGTGCAAACACTGCCCTTCTGTTTTCCCATGACTGATCTCTCCAAGGAGTGTATGTATCTACCTGATGTAAATATTCACCCCATATGTCTGTCTTTTGTTTGACTGGAGGCCACAGGAGTGAATTCAGTTCCAGACCTGAATGGTGGCTAGGGGCCATAATCTCAGGGGTTTCATCAGGCTCTATCAGATCAGCAAACCTGGTCTTTTTTATGATTTTGAGTTTTATTCCACAGTGTTCTCTCACTCAATCCAGAATCTCCTGCACCAATCTCCCTACGAGTGGTTGACGGTGGTAGCTGGTCTCAGGGTCATATAGGCTGGGAATTATTATATGGTCTACCGGTCCCTTGGACTAATTATTTCCATGTATCTTTAGTTTTCTTCATTCTTCTTTGCTCTGGATGAGGAGATGCCCTTCGTTGCATCTAGATAACCTCCTGTAAGCTTTTAAGATCCCAGTTGCTACTCACCAAAGTAGGATGTAGAACAATGTTTTTGGGTCGTATGTTATGCTAATTGAGCTTGATGCCCCCTGCAACCATGGTCCTGAGTTCACAGGTCCCACTACTTGCTCCCTCCGGGTAGCTGGCTGTGCCCAATAAGCCACCACAACCTTGCCCCCTTGTCACCTCTACTATACACCTGAAAATTCTTAGAGCACATACAAATACACATGTAAAATCATGCTTGGAGAATGGGGGTGGAGCTTGGGTAGATTTTCTCAATTTTCTTGCTCTTTCTTTAGATTTTAATTATCTTTGCCCACCTTGCTACAGATAGGAGTCCCTCTACATGCTTTTGCCCTCCTCTTTCAGTAGTTGCTTGTTATTAGTGCTAGGCTCATGGTGAGGGCAGGAGTTCTCTTCTGTGGTCTTGTTCCAGCCTCAGTCTTAGACTGAGGGTGGAATATTTTCAGTGTTTCTTCCCATCAGGCAAATTTAGCTTTTATCTGTAGTTAGTTGCTCTTGGGTAAGAGTTTGTTGCTCCTTCCTCAGCTGTAGCAGTCTTCCTCATAGTATAGGATAAGGTAGTATAGGATTCTATACCTGGGCTAAAGGCAATTTCTTATACCTCTCCCAAATGGTTTTTGCTTCTGCCCTTCCTCCATCAGCAATAGATCTTTGCCTGTGTCCTGGGAGAGGATTTACTAAAACTCCCTAGAGAAAGAGAGATTTTGTTCCTCCTCTTCCCGCACAAGCAGTGGATCTTTGCCAGAGCCCTGTGGATGAGAGGTTTTGCTATACCTATCCCAGCAGTTTTAAGTTTTTAGCATTGTCTGCTCTATGGAAGGTGGCAAGGCTTTGTTTTCTTTAGCAGAGTACCATTAACATTATGTAATAGGGATCTTCCTGCATTATTAAATGAACTTACTGAACTTTTAATATACTACATATATTCCATTATTACAGATTTTTGTAATATCTATTAGAAATTGTCTGTTCCAGCAACTATTTTTCTTTGACACATTTGTAATTTGAAAATCAGGTTTAAATTTGAAGGTCCCATTTAAAAGCCTACTCTATTTTTATTGTATTCCAGCAGACAGATATATTTAGAATAGGTTTCTGATTTTGTATTAATAAGTGAAGTTTTTTTTTTGATGCCATTGACCCTATGGCTTTTCTTACTTCTTCATTTTCAGAATTCAATACGACATAATCTGTCATTGAACAAGTGTTTCCTTAAAGTGCCTCGATCCAAGGATGATCCTGGAAAGGTAGGATTAATTTTTTAAAATAAAATAATCCAGAACTTTGGTATTAATTTTTGTGTCATGTAATTTGAGCCTTATTTGTTACATGAAGAAAAAGAATTGGAAGGAGGGTATTCAAGAACCTGTCCAGTATATTGATCAGGAACCTTTGTGAAATAGCAACTACCCCTCCATACTTGGAGCCCAATGGCACAGTGGTCAAACTTGGCTGCTAACTGAAACGTTGGTCTGTCCTGAGGAAAGACCTTGCAATCTGCTCTCATAAATATTACACTCCAGAAAACTCTATGGGTTTACTCTGTTACATGGAGTTTCTGTGAGTCAAAAATTGATTGTGTAACACCCAAAAACAGCTTCATACCCCACTTTCCTTTTTAGTTGATATGCCTCAGGGACCAGCCAGATAGGGAACACTTCCTTTATAAGCAGTAGGAAGTAAGCTGGTAGAGGGCTGGTCTTCTGCTGTAGTTTGGTAGCTCTAATGTGGTCTGTTTTGATTACTTTCTTAAGTGTTGGATATTAAAGTTTGATGTTTGCTTGTCAGGAACCACAGTCAGTAATTACTACATGTAAGGGGTGGTTCTCTATACAATTGACAAGTAGAAGTAATTGTTACCCTGAAATTAAATGATTTTCTGTTATTACCTTGTTTTCTTTGTTGCTGTTTTCTCTTCTCTTTTGTCACCATTGTATTTTTAGTATTTTTATCTACAGAGACTCCTTTTTTTATTTTTCTTTTCTTTGTTTCAGTAGCCATGTCAGTTGCATTGTAGCCTGAAGGTAAGCACTAGTTGCTTAGTTTCTAAGGTGCAGAGTGCTTAACCAAAAAAATCCAAAAAGACCCCAAACTCGCTGCCTGCCATTGAGTTAACTTGGTTGGACCTTATTTGGTTGTCAACGTAAGGTCGTAGTAGGCTAGGCTTTGAGACAGTGGCAAGCCTATTCTTGTTTTGATGGTTAGCCTTGTGTTCTTCTTTAGGCTAATTGTTCTGGAAGAATCTAAAATATAAGCCTCCTCATGTTAGTATCCTGCTTAAAAATACTTCCCAGTTCCCTAGAGATACTTAGTTTTTTAGTTTCCTATTAGCATATCATTCACTCTCTGTTCTTTGATCCAGCTTTATTTCACCTCATTCAGGTTCCACTATGAGGAACTCTGTGTGGATTTCCAGACATGCCTTTCATATAGTCAGTCTTCTCTTAGTGCACAAATTCCCTTCGGCTACTAACCATAAGGTTGATGGTTCAGACCCACCAGCTGCCTCACAGGAGAAAGATGAGGAGGCAGTCTGCTTCTATAAATATTTATAGCCTTGGAAACCCTATGGGGCAGTTCTACTTTATCTTTTATAAGGTCACTATGAGTGACAATCAACTTGATGGCAGTGAGTTTGCTTTTTTGGTTGGTTTACTTGCCTTTCAAGATTGAACTGCAGCATTACTTCTCAGAATCTTTTTTGTTTCCCCTTATACTTTAGCTGAGTTTGTTGTTCCCTCCTTTGAGCTCCTGTGTTACTTTTACTTCTCCTCATTGTAGTAATCTAGGAACTGGTTTGCCTTAAAGCTTGTTCTGTCCCATTTATAGTAACCACATAGTAGCCAGCAATCTTTCAAAAATGTTAACCCAATTGTGTTCCTTTTGTTTAAACTCTTCATTGGTTATCCATTGCCCTTAGGTTAAAATCTAAACTTCTTAATTAAGTGGCTTTCATGCCTAAAATAGCAGCAGTAGTTAATCCGTCTTAATTTTCTAGATTGACCCCGTTTACTCCTTTATAACAGTACTTTTTTAGTTTTTGAAGCTTAACACCCTTGCTCACTTCTGAAACATTGCCTACATCTCTCTCGATAATTTCTATTTATCCTAAAAGTTGTTCGAGCAACAGGAGCACTTTTTCAGAGAGAACTTCTTTATTGTTAGGCCACATTGGATCATCAAATTAAAACTTTTTCACAGTTTACTTGTACTTCCTCTCTAGATTAACAACATTTATGAAGGTTGGGACCATTGGGTTGTTAATTGTTTAACCCCAGTTGCTTGCACAGTGGATGGTAGTACTGAGGATACACACAGATACTGAATGAATGAATGTATTGTATTCTTTGCTGGACTGTTAATTTCTTGAAGTTAGAGATGAATTATTTATTTGTGTCTTTGTAAAAGCAGGAGCTCTTGAGTAATGAACATTTTATAGCACTTTCTATGACCTGACTGGAATCCCTGGGTGGTGCACATAGTTAATGTGTGGCTGCTAACCAAAGGTTGGAGGTTCAGGCGTACCCAGATGTGCCTTGGAAGAAAGGGCTGGTGATCTGCTCCTGAAAGATCAGCCATTGAAAACTCTGTGGAACACAGTTCTACTATGACACACATGGGTTCACCATGAGTCAGAATCAGTTTGATGGCAATTGATTTTTTACTGATTATGATCTGCTCCACCAAGTTGACTCTCAGTAAAATCTAACAGGTTATTATAATGGTCTTATTATTTGACCATACTCATAATTCTTTGGTTGTGAACAGAAAATGATGAAATTTCTTTTTTTTAAAGTAGGCTTATTATTTTAAAAATTATTAGAATTTTTAGTATTTGCATACGTCATTACTTAAAACAATTTCTAAATGGGTAGTGAGTGTGTATCAGATTAAACAATGTCTTTAATAAAAGACTCTTTAGAGATTATCTATTTTATTAGAGTTCTATGAAGACAGTAATCTTATTCTGTAAATGCCTGGTTCATATTTAATTTTTAAATGAATTTAAAATCAGAACAATTTAAAACTAACACATGAATGCTTTATTATGTACTAAATTTTAATCAACTGGAGATCATCTTTTAAAAAAAAAGCTTGTGCTGTCAGGTACATTTCCTTTTAGGCAGAACTTAAAACTTTTCTCCATCTTTAATTAAACAGCATGATGGGGTAAAGCAGATGTGGAAAATGTGTTATTCTTGGCAACTATTCCTCGTGAATCAGAGTTATCTCAATAATGTGCAACCATAACAAAATACAGAAATAAGTTGAATGTTAAGCCAAATAAAAGTGTTCGGCTTTTAACACTAGTTGCCAATTTTAAAGTTTGTGCTTATCCAACACACTTTTCTCATTGATTTAGATAATAATTAGTAAATATAATACATTTAAACTTATAAATTATATTTATGTTAATAGGTCATTTTAATTTTCAGTTTCAAAGTCAAATTTAAATGCTTGCTTTTCTTATTCATTTTGGTCGTAAATAAATGTTATAAATTTGATCTTATAAGATTCCTTTATAGGAACAAAGTCATTTTTATTTTTGATATCAAAATGACATTTTGTTTAACAAAAAAAAAAACAAAATTTCATTGTTTAAAATAAAGTTTTCAAAACCTCATATCTAGCCCATTTTATAGAAGAGGAATCTAAAGTAAGAGGATCAGTGTTTTGGCTAGACTGGTGTTTTCAAGTCACAGAAACCTAATACAAACTAATTTACAGAGGACAAGAAACTTCAGAATGAATTGGATCAAATTCTGAAATTATGTCACAAGGAATATCTTTTTGTATCTCTTCTAGTTTTGCTGTTGTCTTTGCTGACTTCACTTTCAGCCCACTTAGTGGCAGAGAATGGCATCAGTGCATCAGTTTTATGTTCTGCTAGCTTAGCAACCCTTAGCAGAAAGAGAGTATCTGCCCCCACATCCCTCAGTTACTTGGAGTTACAGCAAACATCTTAGCATGAATGCTAAATAAGCAAAATATACTTAGTTTCTTGGTTACTAGACTAGTACTTTTTTTGCTGTTCTAATCTTTCTTAAGAGGAGGCCAAAATATTAGTTAAGTTTTGGTACTTATGAATTGTTTTTTCTTTTTGTGTTACAGTGTTTCCTGGCATTTGAGGAGCTTTTCCAAAACCACCCTCACCACAGTGGGAGAAAACCATTGAGCCTAGGTGGGGTGGGAGTAGGTTTTGGTCTAGGGTAAGGGGTGGACTTTGTTGTTGTTTGCCGTTGAGTCGGCCCCGACTCACAGCGACCCCTCCTTGGGTTTCTGAGGCAGTATTACTACGGAAGTAGGATTGCCCAACCTTCCTTCCGAGGAGTGGCTGGTGGGTTTGAACCGCCAGCCTTCTGGTGAGCAGTCAAGTGCCTTAGGCACTGTGCTACCAGGCACCAGGGGTGGACTTTAGTTCCTTAGTATTTTGCTAGGTGCTGCTGTGACTTGAACAGGTTCAAGTGGTAGAAGTAGCCTGTCTAGCATCTTCTTCCCTGTGTTTTCGTGGTTTCCTGTTCAGTTCATTATCAGAGTGGTATAAAGACTAGCCTAAACTTGAAGTGTGTTGTTCCATTACAGATATTTTTATATGGTTTTTAATTCCTGATTCAATCCATTTTCTAGAAGACTTTGTCATAGAAGCCCTTAATATGTGATACTATCCCCTGTACTGTGATGGTCTGAAATCCATTTTCAATTCTTCCCTGAAACTAATTTCAAATAGCATATTATTGCTTTATTTAAAAAAGAAGCGCAAAGAAAATGAAATTATATTTTGTATCGATGTCTTTGATTTTTTTTAACAGATTATTTTTCTTTTCCCTTGATCACACCCTAGCCTCCCTGTTGCTGCATCCTTCAATTTCCAGTTTTAAACCCTTTTATTTCCTCCTTTCTCATTAGTTTTATTTTCTATACGTTTATCTGATTTCTTGATCTAAATTTGTTTGTGAAAGACTTATTAGGCAACTCACACATGGCTCTTAATTATCTTAAAGGAAGGAAAATATTTTGTTCACATTATGGAAATCTTCAGTTAAATTAAGTTTAAAAATAAAGGGTTCAGTATCTCTGCTTTCCAGCTTAATCTTCTCTCCTCTTCTCTTTTTCTTCAGTCAGGAAAAATGGTACTTAGACTATAAAGAAAGTAAAGGATTGTAGAAAGTAGGTTCAGTAGTTGCATAAGTAATATAGCAGTAGCGCTGATAAAACAGACCATAGCTAAGAAGTTCAAGAAGGCCAC